TGTAGTCTGCAGCCTAGAAATTCTTTATTGTGTAATTCTGAAATCTGATAACTGTTTATTTCCACATATATAAAGGACACTTGAAAAGACAAGTTGTATAAAGCAGCAAGAAACTGCAGCTACCTTTTTTGTGTGTGTAGTGATTTAATGTGGAATATCCTAATAACTTGACTTCAGTAGTATGATATAGTTTTCATGCAGTAATCCTACTTATGAGTCACAAGAGCCTGTGAAAGTATAATAATTAAAATTCCGTATGAAAAAGGAAGTTAAATGTGTTAACTCTGAACCTGTAGGAACTTCATATATTTTACTGAAATAGCAATTTTGGAGCACTTTCCTCCTCCACCCTGGTCCCCACTGCCTTTCAAGGGTCTAACAGTGTTTCACTGGGGAACATTTGCTTTCTCTGTGACCTCGGCTTTACCCTCCCAGCCAGCCCTGCTCAGGCAACCCTGCCCTGGGCACTGGGGTTTGGAGCTCCCACGTCTGTTTTGGGTGTTTGTCATCAACAACTGTAAGGCAAATTTGGACTTTGTGAACCTAAGGAAAGACCAGATGGTTTAAATAAGCCTTTAAATGCTAAAGTTTATTCTTATGCTGTATACAGATTCAGGACATTAAATATGTTGATAATCTCATTCCAAAAAATCCCTTTGCTCATCTGCAAGGATTTGGCCAGTGTGTCAAGTGCCAAGTTTGGAATACACATGTCATGCCTTTTTATACAGCTGCAAATAAGATGTGCTGCATTGCACTCTTCAAAATAAAGTCTGAGTAGGGTCTCTCAGCCTCAGCCCTAGTTTTCTTTTCCTCCTCCCAGTACATGGCTGTAATAACTCATGGAGTTTATTCAGTCAGCATTTTAAATACTGTGTGTGTCCCCTTCCATCATTCATAATATGAGATGATGAAAAGCACTGTAACTAATTTTATGCAACACAATGAAATTAAAAGCTTTCGGTATTACCGTACTGCAGGTATAAATCTAACTAAATGTGGTGGTGGAGAGAGATGGACTGTATAGGTGAGTGTTAGAATAATTTAAGGTTATTCGGCATTTTCTATGGATGTCTCTTCTTGTTTCTTCGCAAATACCATAAGTAATTGTGTGGTTAATAAAGTCTTTAAGTGTCTGAGCTTGCAGTTTTCTACTGCCTTTATTCATTAGCTAAGAAAAAGTAAAGCTAATGGAAAACAATCCATTTCAGTGAAACTGTAGGTTTGCTTACCCATCATAGCAAAATGTTAATTTGTCTAATATTTTAGTGTCACATTAACTTATGTCAAGTACAGTGCAACTTATGCACTGATACATTTCAGAGAACTGGACAAAATATCAGATTTATGTTCCTATATTTCAGTTTTATCCATTAGATTCTACATGTATTTATAATCTGGATATTAACAAAAATGTTGCTTGAGGTCTGAAGGTCTGCTTTCTGCTTATGCAGAAAAATTTACATGAGTTAGGATATACATGTAGCTTTTCCACCTCCCTTATCCATCATCATTCATGTACTCTGGTATTTACTTCTCCCAGATACAAACCTTGCCTCTTAACAGCATTGCTGTTTCTACTCCTGTTCATAATATGATATATGATATTCTCTCTGTTATTTCTTACTGCACTTCAAATGAATCTTCATACATTTTTATAATATTGGAGTTACTCTCCTGAGTTAGTATTTGCATGTATCTTTTATTATTATTTTATTTTATGCTATATAAGATTTTTCTGCCACCAAGCAGCATGTGGAAGTCATGAACAAGACTTATTCATAAACAAGCTAAGGACCTTCTCACACTCAGTGTTTCCCAACAGAGGACAAAAGGATTTTCTTTTCTCTTTGTCTCATTACACTGCCTCTTTCATCTTGGAACTGCAGTTACTTAAAAGTGTGTGCTCCTAATCTATCCAAGTTGCTCTGAAATTTATTACTCTCACTTTGTATTTACAACTGTTTTCCCTCTTATTAACCGGCATTTAGTGTTATCATCAGTTATTCAGCTGGAATCATACTTCTTCAAGGTTATTTAGCGTTAAAAGAAAATCTTTTCCTCAATTAGCTCTCTGATTTCCCCTTCCCAGACAGTCTCCCTCCTTCCCCAGCCTTATCTGCTCTTAGTAAGAGCAATCCTGAGATATGGAGCATCAACTCATCTCCCAGCACCCGCTCTGGTGTGTTTTCTCCCTGTCTGGGAAACCCAAGGACTGAGGTGCTCACAGAGCTTCTGGGCCAGCATTAAGGGCCATGTGAAGGAGTAGTATGGGTGCTCTGCACACAACAATGACCCAGAAACCATCTGCAGGAGCCCTGAAATCTCAGCCTATGCCAGCAAGAAAATACCCTCTGGCTTCTCTACGCATAATTTCTATTCAGAGCTCCCTAAATTCAGATGAGAATTAAGTTCTGTTTCTTTTTTTTTGTATGTCCAAGATGATCCTTTCTCTTTGAAAGTTAAAAAGTTTAGAATCCAGGCTGATAGTTGTGGCTAAGCTTTGGCTCCAATGGACAGGCTCAGTGCAGTCTTTCTTCCACACTTCTGCTTGTGCTGTTATTGCCAGGGTTGGCTCTGAGCCCTGTGTGCAGCAAGGAGACATTTTCGAGCACTTGTTTATCTTCCAGCACTTTCCTTCTATTGCTCTATCTCACTCAATTTCACCCAACATTTCCTCCTTTCTTATTGCAGGCAAGTAATTCATGTAGTTATGCATCTTTTCAATGAGGAAGCTTTCTGAGCAATCCCTTCTCTGCAACAGAAAACTTTAAAAACTTTCCTGATATTAAATGCTCAGTCAAGTGCAGAGTTATCTCTCTTCAGCTGTGTAAACAAAAAACCCTATTTTTGGGGGGTAGAGAGTGCAGAGAAGTTTCTTTTTAGTTTATTGGTTATTACAGGACATGTTGGATGCAAAACAAAAGAAATCTCATTTTACTGAATGTATTTTAATTACAATTATGATTTAAAGTCCATGTTGTGAAAAGCAACGCATTTTAAGATGCAAAACTGTTGAGTCAGAACTCCAGGAAAAGCAGATTAAAGCAGCTTGACATAAAGTTGTATCCTATTCTTCACCTTTATTTTGTATTTCTGATTTTATTTTTATGCATGGGACATGTATTTCTTTTAGACACATTTCAGTGAAGAAAGTGCTGCTAGCAGTTGGTTTCCTTCCAACCATTTTGGAAGGGTGTCCTCTTGTCAGCTTCTGGAAAGACTCAGACTTCATCCCATTTCTTAGTCAGCTTTGGCACTCTGACCTGAAAAATCAGGGTAATTCTTAGAATATCATCATTATCAGATCTATGACTTTATAGGAAAATACCACGACAACTGGACTGCGTTAATTGCCTACATTAATGAGCTTTTTTGGACTGCTAAGCTTTCTATTATATGCATTATTCTACTTGTTTTCAGAAAAGGAGCACCATAGTTTTCACACTAGTACTGTTGTCTCAGTTCTAAACTGAATTGTACAAGCTGAATTTTGGTGGCTCTTGTAAAACAGATACTAGTAGTTAGTTTTGGGCAAAAGGCTACATCTGGCATTTTCTGAAAAGCAGAGTCTAAAATGAACCTAAAGTGTTAGATCAGATTGTTGAGCATTAAAATAAAACCAAAACATTCTTCAACCTAATATAATTTCAGTGTTTACTGTGGTTCACCTGACTCTATTTCTCACATCACAACCCATTTTAGGACTGTCAGTAGTATGTGTTGTCTAGAATGGATGAACAAATCTGTTCTTACAACACTGTTAGGATCAGCCAAAAATACTGGCAGTGTATTATTTCCTTGTGCTTTTGCAGGGAAGTGACAGGACTCATGACCAAGGTCAGGAGAAAGAAAATAGGAGTGTGTTGTGCTTATTTGGGACCTACTGGGAAGCAATAAGAGAATCCAGTGTGGTGCTCTGCCTGTTGGCTCCTTTTAAGGGAAGCTGAACTTTCAGTACCCAAAGTCACTAGTGTTGAAAATTGCGATACAGGAGATACAACATTATCTTTTACCTTCACAGTCATGAGTTTACCTTCGAGTGCCAGTGATGTTACTTTGGGGCCATGACCTAGCCAAAAGTAAGAATGACTTTATCAGCACATCAGCACTGCTGGAAACGCCTGACTACCAGAGTTTCTGATGCTGAGTTTGATGTTGAATAACAACATTGTTCAGTAAGAGCTATTTCCTTGAGGCTTAGTTACAGAAGTGTTTGGGACATGGTGGTTTCTGTATTAGCATTTTTGTAGTGAATACTCTTCATTGTAGCTTGTGCAATTTATCACTGCAGTTGACTTTTCCTTCTGCAATTCACTGTAGAATGAGCCAGAAGAAGAAATAAGCACGTAAGGATTAAAACAAATATGTTTAAAAATATTTAGATGTGTAAATACTTCCATCCCGTTCATCACTGAAACGCTCTGAATACAGCAGGACCAAGTATGACCCCTTTTATCTCTAAATATATTTCATTAATCAGTTTGAAGATGCTTTATAACATCTCCATTTTATCTGGCCCCTGCTAATTTATTTCCTACATCTGGATAATGGGCTGCCTGAGGTGGGTTCTCTCTACAGAGGAACTTCATCCCTACAGGGTAATAAGATCTTTGTCTGAGGCCTTATCAACAGAACATTCATAGGTGACCTTAATAATTGTGCCAGTGCATCCAAGAAAGCAGAACTACTGAAAAGTCTATGTACCCTTTTCAGGCATCATCAAGACAAAATAATAAAAGTTTAGAGCTAAATATTTCCTGGCTATAAAGCCACGGCTTCAGAGTTTTGAAGTCAAAAGTGTTAGGATTTAGACTTGTATAGACAAATTAGCTTGATGTTTGGTGCTTATGTATCTTTTTCGAAGAAGTCCCCCAGGATACTGTCACTCCAAATGAAGTCAGTCACCTGTACATCAGTTCCCTGACTGCTTTCTCAGGTTTGTGTCAGATGTATAAAATACATTCAAACTCCTGCTATGCCCTTTGGTTCTTTGGCAGGCTGCCTGTGTATCCCTGGGACTGGCAAAGACCTGAAGTGAAGTGTGTGTTCTGCAAGGTAAGAACACGGCCAACATACTGCATATTTTTTTAGCTCATGAATTATATTTTGATTGAAATATGTGGTGTGAAAGCTATATTTTAGTAGCATGCAGTTTTTTCTAGTAGGCAAATAATGAGGGCATGTGGGAGCTCTGTGGTTTTACATGGATAACAAAAGAGACCAAAAAAAACCCAAACCCTTGTCAGTCAATGGAATTCATACACAAAGATTGGAATCACAGGTTGATATTTCAATTTATACCATGAAGTACCTTACCATTAATGTGCTATATACATTGAAGTGTTTGTGGGTGGTCCTGGGCTATTTTGTTTTATGTGAAGATGATGAGAACAAAGTGTGACTAAAGCAAATCATTGGTATTGCTCATAACATTCCAAGCTAGTCAGTGAGGTTGTTGTTGCAACTTTGAAATAACAAGGAATTACCCTCCAGAAGCACCTGATCAGTGGACAGAGACCAGTTCCAAGCCTAAGCTCCCCTTTTTTTTTTTTTTTTTTTGTATTACTGGAGTATCTTGAGCTTAGAGCAAAATCAGAACTCCTTGTTTATAGCCCAGTTCATATTAGTTTATTTTCAGCAACAAGTTTTTTTCCTTCTGATCAGACCTTGAGACTCACTTCATTTGGAGTTTAATTTTCCTCTTTCAAGTCAGCTTTGGAGAAACATGTAGCTGCAGTGGTCTCAATACTTCACTAAGCATCAGATTGAAAAGAGAAGGAACAGAGACCTAAGAACTCTAAACTAATGTTTGACACTTACAATAGATGTATGTAAAATCTAAAGAATGTACAGCAAAAGACCACTATCACACTAAAGCAGGAACATAAAAATATACAAGTCTATCTGAGCTGTCTTGATAACTGAGCTTGAGGAATGTGCTTTATGTCATGACCACTGACAGCTTTAACTAGACAGGAAAACGCAAGCACCTTTTCTCTGATAACAGTTGGTGCATTGATAGTCTTTACTGACCTTATCTGAAGAATAATAAATGCTTCGGTTCCTCAGTTTGTCCTTATTACTTATTTTGGTTGATTTTTTATTTCCTTTGCCTTTTTAGTGTCAGATTCCTCAGATAATCAAGAAAAAAAAAACCCAACCTTTCGACCTGCACTAAAGGGTTGACTGAGAAAACTGGCAGCAAGATACCTTCTAAGTGCTCTTGGTTTAACATGAGGATTAAGAAAGGCCAGACATTTTATAGGGCCTTGTGAAGTGGTGACTGTGTTAGCACCGAAGTCAAAGGGATGCAGAGGAGTTACCCCTGTGAAGGTGATACCCCACTGTGCAAAATAAACTGATATGTACAAATCCCAGGGTTACAAAACTGGAAAGGTGAATATTCTTATTTAATACCCCACCTCTAGCACACAGCCTGGGTGCTTCCCAGGCAGAACATGCTATTTTATACCATTGCAATCATATATAAGAAACAAACTTCCTAGAAATCCCAAGATAACATGGGAAATACAAAGAACTCAATAAGTGTGAGTGTTTGTCCTACAGATAGCACCTTCAAGTTGGTTGGACCGGTCAATTGTTGATCAGGAAGAAAATCCCACAAAAAAAATGCCAGACCAAAAGCCTTTTGCTTTCTCTAGTCCTAATGTGTTGAGGTTTTTAGGTCAAATTCCAAAGGACACTGTGACAATCATTCTGTCTTCAAGAAAGCCAAACACTTCCTGGTAATTTCACTACCTTTACTGCATATAAAATAGGTAAGGATTGGATGTTCTCCACAGTAAGTACTTCTGATTTTTATTTTTAAAACATTGATCTTCTCCAGCAAATAAACTAAAATAATTTCATGTAATTTTAAAAATGCTACTTATTATTTAACATGATCCTTTGAATCAATTGCATAAAAGGCCACAACATAAAGCAAATACAGATATTAAAACACATCATAGGCATCGTGTGTTAGCCTAATTCAGTTTCTTTGTTTACAAAATAAACATCAATATAAATATTTAATACAGTAGCTGCAGTAAGAAAAAGGACAAACTGTTATGACTATGAGAATGCTGAGCATAGTGGAAACTATCTTTTAAATTACAACTTTCTCTTAGCTTGAGCTAGAGCCTTTTCTCATAAACGAAAAAGTCATAGTGCATTAATGGCAAATATCCATCAGGAAATAAGTCTAAAAGCAACTCAGAGAAGTATATTGCTCTGAGAAAGATGGCTTTGCATTTGTGCTGTGTTTATAATAAGCTCAATACCAATATCTTGAAAATAACAGTAAATATTTAACCTAAGGAATATTTCATACGACTGCAATAAATGTTTAATACAATGTAACTTTGCAGTACTTCAAAAGCATATTGCTACAAATATTTATCTAGAATTTTAATTAAATACATGTATAATCCATGAAATAAACTACCTCAGCTTTGATTCAGCAAGCTGCTCTGCAGAAATGCAGAGGTATGTCCTCGTGCAGCTGTTTTCTGTGTCAGACCCTAAGACTGTGTGTTTGCACTCCCAACCCTTGCCCTGATTGCAGATTCATCAGTGTCAGGACTATCCCTCTTTTCTAACTGCTCATACACAAATTCACTGAGCAAAACAGAGTCTGAGGTACCCAGTGATCTACAGACTTAGGACTGTAACCTTTGCCTAGCAATCCTCAGAGTTAGGTGATACCTCATGCTCCCACGGCCAACTAGAATGGAATAATAATTGTTTTAGCCTCAGGAGATGTCCTCCTCCTGGATGGCTTCCAGTGTGCTGAATATCCAGCCTTCCTTTCCAAGGCTTTACTACTTGTGAAAGAAAATAATCATCCCTTCTTCTGCTGGTACAGGGGTGAATTTAGTTGTGTTCCTGTACTGGAAAGAATAGAGGGTACACTGAATCCAGAGAAGGGCAACTCCAAACGCTGGTAGGACACTGTGGGGAGGAGTTTCTGGCTGAAAATCAGTATGTGGCTTTGCCTGTAACGTGTAGCAAGAGCAAGTAGCCTCTTGTGGTCTCCAGTAACATAAAATTTCTGACTGTCTTGTCCACCTCTTTAGTACCTCCTTGCATATTAAGGTCACCTAAGCTCACCTGTTTTCCCCAGATGGCATAAGTTCTTAGAGGTCATCAGTCAGCCTTATATTTACTCATTTTGTCTGAAATGTCATTGTCTTTAAAACCTCAAGCAACAGATTATTCTTCCCCAATTAGAGTTGGTTTGTTTTTTTTTTTTTTTTTGGTGACTCTAAAACACTTCTAAAAACTTCTGAAATACTTTCTAGTAGTGAACTGCTGCTGCAGGTCTGGAGTGAGATGCTGGTATGACACACCACTCTGTGTCATATGGATCAGTGCAGCTTTCTTTAAAAGTAGTTTTTATTTGCTGGTTAAGCCACTCTGTACCTGAACATCAGGACAATAAGAAAACAATTTTGACAATTGTTGATTTAATGCTGTAGTGGAAATGGAACCTATATTTCTGGAAATAGTATGTTAACAAAGCAGTGAGTATTTCCTTCTTTTTGTAAGTCACAGTGGAGTAGTCTGTGATCTCTTTGACCTATATTGGAATGATTTCCAGCATAAAAAAAAATGGTTGTCTGGGAGATGGGAAGTGAGGAAAAATTAATCATGGAAGAAGTTATCTGCAGTTTGAGTCTATTTGCCACTTTCTCTCTCAGAGTCCATAACTTCATTTCCTGATTCTGTTTTCATGGAACTGGTTATAAAAACAAGTAAGGAAGCAAAATATTGGTGTTTTATGTTTTCATAAACTATAACTAAACCCATTTTCTTTAAGTCCCCTCTCTCTTATATTAGCATTTGCAAAACTTTATTACTCCTTTTGCTCTTTTTAATGCTGAAGAGAAAAGATACTGTGATTGAACAGCTAGAAATGTGTTTCATTTGACACGTCTGGTAGTGCTGTGACTCTATAATTTTTTCTACTAAATTGCTACTAGTCAGAGTAAGAAATAGGCCCTCACATGAAACAGAATTGACACATATAGTAGTGAAATCTTTCTGATGCCACAAAAATACTGCAGAAGATTAGTAAAAGAATAGTAAAGATTGATAGAGTATCTTATTTTACTGGATTCCTCATATAATATAGGAAACTATTGTTATCTAACCAGAGACAGTCAGGACTGAGTCATGTAATTAATGTATTTGAATGTCTGTAGAAAGTCACAAGTTGAGTAATCCTGCTCAGCCACCCCAAGAAACTGCTTGGCCACTGGCACCCTTTGTTTGCACCACAGAAATATTGTGCCAGGGACCATTAGTAACAACAATGCTCCAGATCCTGTAAGCACTGATCATCTGAGCAATTCTCTAGTGGCCCCACATGAGTGTGGCAAGGAGAGAAGAAAGGGCTCTCTTACAGTTTTATGAAGCTGCAGCTTTGCACTGATTTCAGTGGGGTTTGAATAACCCTTCAGAACTGCACATAGAGGAAGTGTGGATTATTTTACTCAGGTTCCTGCTTGCTGTCCTTTATAATCCACACTGAAAGATCCTACCCCTCAAAGTTCCCTTCAAACTGATGACTATTTTCAAGCACACCACCCTGAAAGGACCATCCTCTATAATTGCTTTTCAATCTGCACCATTTATTAGTTGCCCATTCAAAAACTCATCAGCAAACACACGCTACAAGTAAAGGCATTTCTGAAGCCATAGTTTGATGGTGCTGAATGGGGAGCCCTTAGAAAAACACCTCTGTGTTGCTATGTGATGTGCTCAGAAAAGAATTGAGCATTAAGACAGACAGAGGGACACTGTATGCATAGAAAAGATTTGGATCACAGCTTGATAAACCTGAATGCTTCGCAGGTTGAAGAACTCTAAAAAAATTACTACTGCTGTAGTTTGGGCCATTAGTTATTCCATGCTGGGCTCTGTATTCTTTGTGTGTGGAATACTTTGATAGAAACGTTCCTTTAATTTGAACTGTGCACTGTTTGTCATAACAGCATGGGATGTTATGAAAGTTAAAAATGACACTGTCAGATTAATCACTTTAAAAAGGATCCTTTTACTCATTGTATCAAAAGATAACCTTTGACAATGTACAGATGAAGGCAACTAAACAGCTTTTTAGAAAGCAAAATTGGTTTAGATTTTTTGAGATGACCCAGTGACCTGGGTATTTTTGTGTCTTGTGGTTTAGTATTCCTAAATACTAAACTAAAAGTCTGTCCCTCAGCAGACTTTGTGTCCTCCAGCACAACTTGGTTATTGCAGTGGCAAGTTACAGTAGATTTACCTGCATATCCACCCCTTCCTAGTCCACTCTTCAGGGTGGATCTAGGCTTTCTCTCTGTTTCGTATGAGTTAGCCTGGCATTTTTCAAATTACAGTGCATTCTGAAAAGGCATGAAAGCAAATCATCATTATGCCTGAAGTATCACACCAATGCTAACTGCAGTTTAAAGGTTTGTTGTTCTGAAGATTATGAGGGGCCCATTTGTAAGGAAAATATTTTCTCTAAACAATTAGGTGAGTGGCCTATGCCCATTCTACCCATGGGAAGTAGAGAATTTGGCTTTACTTTCTGGTGCTTCTGTTTAGGTAGGTGGCAACCTAACAAATACAGGGAAACTGTTCACAAAACAAGAATATTTTGTTCTGTGTCTGCAGATACAGTTTCCATCCAGATTGATTTCTGGAAAAGCTGGCTTTACCTGAGCAATATTCAGAAATCTGGGAAATCTGGGAGATTCAGAAATCTGTGTGCTGCATCCACGGTACAAGCTTGAGGAAAATCTCCATGGAGAATTCCAAAGAGGAGGTAAATGTGGACAATTTGTTTTGAACCTCATCTCAAGGTTAGCACCCATTTTCAAAGTGTCATCAGGTCTTCCTACAAAGAGCAAAGGTGAAACTGGTTAGAGGCAGTCAGTGTTTAACTGCTGGTGTCTCTGCTATTTACAGACCCACACGCACATGTGAAATGCTAAGCCTGTGATTCACATACAGCAATTCAACCTTGCATTTTTTCCTCTCCTATGCAGAGATCTGTCTCATTTGTTTTAGAGCACTGGGAAGAAAGTCCTGGAACCTTCCACCCAAAGCGACAGGACTCCGTGAAAGAGCCGATGGAGCTGCTCTGCAGCTGTGTCCGTGCCACATTTGCTGGCAGAGCCCCAGCAAGGCAGAGCAGACCCCACCAGCTGGCTGGGACCGTGATTTCTCCCCTATGGTGTGACCTCACATCCTAAAGACGTGCCTGACAATGGGATAGGTCGTTGTGCTGACACAGGCACCAGGAAAGGAGATGCTTGAAGGACCCGCGAAAGAGGCAACAGCTGTAGATAAACACACAGACAGGCTTGATGTCAACAGGAACTGCTGATGGCCAAGCACTTCTGAAAATTTGGTATGCTGCAGTAAGATGGTGCCAGCCTCTCTGGAAAATCAGGACTTCATTGTGAGGGCAGAGCACTTCTGAAAATGCAGCCTGCAGAACTGGTGCAGATGGTCTGGCCCCCTCTCAGCAGGCACAGATCACAATATCAAGGGCAGCAAGTGGGATTGGGATCGTGCCTTGTGGAGGACAAGAGGCAGACACGAGCTGGCAAAGCAGAGGCTGTCAGGTGCAGCAGCTGTCCCAACAGGCACGTTTGCCATGTCATGATGCCATGTCTCTCTCTGATCCAAGTGCTGAACTCTAATTGTATTTGCAATGTGTTGATTACCATGGTCAATTTTGTATTTTTATTTGAGAGTTGTGTGTTTCTGTTGTTTGAAATTGTGCCAGCTGCTGGCTGAGAAGGTGAACTAAAAACTCAGAATCAACCACAGCCACCTGAGATTATTAGAAATTCCCAAAGAGAGAACTCAACTCTAATCTTAGCTCTCTTATTCACAAAGAAACAATCTAATTCATCCCAAAATTCCCTAGGTTTGTGAAGACATATTCTTCCCCACCTTTTTTTTCTTTTGACACAATTTATTGATTGCCTTTTTCTACCCCCTGCATGAATCCTTAGGGAAAGGCTGCGGTATTTCAAATCCTATAAATGCAACCTGAGCACCCTTTGGAAAAAAAAAAAAAAAGGCAACCAATAAAGTTTATTATTGCTATAGAAAGACAGGCAAGTGCACTGCCTTGCCACAGAATCTGACAGAGCCCTCAAGCAATCACAGGAGAGAAGGGGTGACTAAAAGCTTGTAGGAACAGTGAGGCTGGAGTGGTTTAACAGCACATTACCCGAGCCACATTTGCTGTGGAGAGCACGTCCTGACCCTGTTTCCAGCTCTGTAACAGGGAATACACATCTCCACATCTGAACCTTAATGCTGCTTACCCAACAGGTTCTGTGGTTGTGGCTAAATCATATGTATTCCAAGTGGTCTTATGACACAGAAAGAGTATTTTGCAATAAGTCAAAGAATTTGAGTTCAGGACGGACACCAAGAGGCTTGAGGTGATGGGATTTGGAAGAGAAGATTGGCACAAATTAAACCGAAGGTCTCCATTAAGACAGCTATACCCTGATCTTTTCAATATTCAACCAGTAAAAAGAAAGAAACTTTGAAGATTCAAAAAGTGACAAATTTCAAGGGCTCTCACTTTTTTTGTTGTATGAATGAATATAAGAGTATATGTTAAACTTCTGCAAGATCATGCTGGTTAGTCTTAGCTGCCCCAATGTCTCCCAGCGTTTTCATTGCTGAGGTGGACATACTCCATGTCAGGTGGTGGTTTTAGAGGGAAAGCCTTTGAGGAGAAGGTACAAGTCCCAGGCTAACTGGGAGGAAGGACAAATTTTGTATTGGAGCTCAGCACATGGGGAGTCATTCCACTGCAGGGTGCTGTTTGTTGACATGTTCATTTATGGGGTATGTCCTAAGGAAATAGACCCCTGTATTTTTTACGGTGGCATCCAAATAAAGAGATCCTGGTCTCTGGAGCTTGCAGAAGATTACAGGAAAGGATCAGAAAGGAAAGGATTAATTTTACCAAACTGTATGTGCTACTTTTGATCACTGAACTGTATTAACAGTGGGGAATGTGCTCAGGTAAGTAGTAATTTGTGTGGCTGAAGTAGGAGGTCTTATATTTACAATTATATCAGATTGAAAAGCCTAAAATAATAATTTTGCCAAAAATTATCTAATGATCATCCTGGTTGGTTTTCCTATAAAACAGACATTAAAATCAGACCATATCTGTAAGTTTTTTCAGGTACTCTTTTGTTTAACTGTCCCATGGTATTCTCTTCTAACATAAAAAGATGCTTTTTTATACTTTAATGCAGCTAATGTTTCTTTTGTCCTAAGATTAACTTCCTACACCCCAAATAGTTTTTTAAGTTGTACCAGAACTGAAATGTACTGTTTTACTTACATTTCAGGAACAAGACCCTTAACATGACAAGTTATGTCATTCAAGAGTCACATGCATTTCATTGCCTAAGTTTTTTAAAAAATGTTTTAACCTTACTTCGTGTTATCCTTCAGCAGCAGTTAATCATTACAGCAGGATCCCCATTCTGTGGAAGCAGAAAAGAAGCATTGTTCCTGATTGCAGCTCTAATGATCCAAAGGGTGCAATCTCATAATTAGGTATGTATTTAAAAGTTGTTTAATTTACTTGATTTTACTTCCACAGAATTCAAGGAAGTGCAGTTACCATGGGTAAGTTTTTGCATGTGCCGATGGTATTCTTTAAAATTCTACCTAATCTGTCCCCATCTCATGTCCTTGTCACTTGAGCATAATTAAACTTTGGAAGAATTCAGATTCTCCGCTGAACTGACATCTGATTGTTATCACCCAGGAATAACCTTCATTTTCAGCAAGCGACCTGGGCTGAACAAACACGGAGTGCTTACATATTTTACAAACCCACAGTTTATACAGAGATTATTTTATGTTTAGATATCACTCTCAAGCAACTGGGACAGAGCCAGCTGCAGATCTGTATAAACAACAGATTTTGCACATTAGGTAGTTGTTAAGGATCGGGTGTAGTACGAGGTACAGTGAAAATCTAACAGTTGGAATTGAGCTCCACCCAACATTTTTTTTTTTCCTTCCAAGAGCAGCATTAGGGTGGCATTTAGACCAAGAAAATACTGAAAGCAAATCAGATATGTGTATTGTTCTGAATGAGGAGTTGCTAGTTCTTTAAATGACTGCCAGATGTCAAACAGAAAAATGCCTCCTCCTTCCACAAAAGAATAGTTGACTAATAATTCACTTTAGAAGGCTGAGAGTCCAGAACTCTGTCAGAGATGTTTTTAAGCTGTAACATTTGATACAGGCTAGGGGAGAAGATGCAAATATGGATGTAATAGAGTTTACCCTGTAATCAAAGGAGGAAGAAGAAAAGCCTTTGCATTTTAGGATACTGGGCCTCCATAAATCAAGAATTAAGAACAACTGCCAAAAGCAACTTTCCTTTCTTCTACCAAAGAAGAAACAGTAGCTTATGACATTGGTTAAAAATTATGGTCAGTCTGAGAGCATATATTTACCTGTAATAAATTCTCATCTTGCAAGAGGAACCAAGGCTGAACAAAATGGGATATACTTTGACATACATCTGCAGATACCTGTGTCCCATATGTGGGACAGTAAGTGGGAATTCCATCTGTTTAGGATGTTTAAATTTCTATATTTTAATGAGATTTTTATCATATACAGAAATTAAATCCAGTTTAGTCTCCTATACAGTCAAAACCCTCATTTTTTATGAACTGAGATGTATATGAACATTTTTCAAAATCATTTCCTTAATCTTGATGTATTACCACAGGTTCCACTAAGGAGAATCATGCTGCACTATTTATCAGTGTTTGTTCAAGAAATCCATGCAGTGCTGGATGAGAAAAGCATCCTGACTGCATAACTTGTTTACATTTCAAAAGGCTTTTGAGATGTATAATCACAAGAGACTGGAGAAAAAAAGAAGCCAGGGAGTCCAGGTATAGTAATTCATTAAAAGACCATGTGAGACAAAAAATAAAAATAGTAAGGATAAAAGGTGAGCTTTTATATTGGAAATCACAAAGTTTTGTGTGAGGACTAGAGCTGATCTGTAAAAGGAGGGTAGGCAAAAAAAAATGACAAAATCTGTTGCTTTTATGAAAGAGAAGGAGAAATTTTTGGAGAGACTTGGAGAAGGCTGGTGTTATAGCTATGTCAGATTCCATTGTTTCTTCTACTGGAGTTGGTTAACATGAAAAAGAAGCTAATGTGTTAAGTCCATCGAATGGTTCTATGAAAAGTTTAATAATTTTTGCCATGAAATGATGGTTACTGTTAAAAGAAAAGTAAAAGGTTTTATTAAATGTCTTAAGACTGCTTATAAAAATTAAGGACCATTATCAGCCTGCATTAGGCTTTGATTAAAGTGTGCTGCATACATTCTCTAACACTGTGTGCTGGTATTAGGAATTTTAGTTAATCATGAAAATACATTTGGCATATGAGGGTAGATTATATAAGCTGATTGGCAAACATCAATAGGTGTTTTATGCCAACTTTTGAACAAGAGAGAAGACCAAGATAGATTATTTTTTCAGTAAAAGACACCACTTTTCTTACCTCTGATGGTTTAATTATTTGCTGATCTTGAATAGCAAAAGAGATTTGCTTCTTTTCCTGCTCTGTGTGGACCTGTGTGGCCCATCAGCCACTTTTGCAGGATTGTGTGTTGCAGTGGTTATGGATGCTCTTTCTGGACCCTTCAGAAACATATCCAGTTCTGTGATGAGTTCTGCTTAAATTTCCCAAAATTATTTCACAAAGAAATCTTTCAGTTAAGCATTTAAATCAGAGGACAGCATTAAATCCGTTCCCACTGCAAGCCCCTCTCATTTATATGGCAGGAGGCTTTGCTGAGGAACTGAGTGTTTTAAAATGACTGCTAAAATATTTGTCAACATATAGGCTTTAAAATGTTAGTTTTCTTAATTTATTGTTGAAGTACAGTGCTTTATGCTCTCTTCAAGCAGCAATTTGTGGGCAATTTGCAGGACTGTGATTCTGGTGTGAAAAAGTGGCATAAAGAGGAGTTGAAACCCCTTCAGCCCCTGTGTAAAAACCCAGGGAAAATATGGCCCTTTTAGATTACATTATTCGTACAGTGTCAGCCAGACATGCTACAAACACTAAAAAACTGCTGGTTTTTAGTGTTCTTCTGTTCCAACAAGTCTGTAAATTAAACTGAACATAAAATAACTGGGAATGGTAGTGATGCATGTAGGAGGAGTCGATCTCTGTTGTGGTATGCTGTGAAAGAAGTTATTTTGGCTAAGAAGAGCTGCAACCTGGAGGAGTGAGATATGTATAAAAACAAGATTACTGTGATTTTTATAGGCGACAATCATATTACAGTGACCTGGTGAGGCAAGTGAGACTTGAGACTGTGGAGGATAATTGTATAGTGCCAAAAATTATACTCTTACTTGTACCTTTTTTTTTCAGCACCTGGTTTCTATTCCTCCTTCTCCTACACTTCTATTGTGTAGTTTTGAGGGTTTTTTTCATACTCTCAGCACTGTACTAACAATGCACAGCAATGCATTCTACCAGCTCAGTAATTAAACCAAAAAAGATTATTTTAAGTTTGGTTACTCCCAGCCTTTTAATTCTTTCTGTCTTTTTTTTTCTTTCCATTTCATGCTAATACAATTTTGCTCTGGTTTAGCCTGTACAGGGGGATTCAAGATGTATACAGCCAAAGCCAGGAGAAGCCTGAGGAGCAAACTGGCTGATTTGTCAGGAGAAAGCTGGACAGGGACTTTGCCCAGCTATGACTTGGCTCTAGATTCTGTCTGTAGAGGACACTTGGTTTAACAGCCAAGGGGTAATCAGGCAAAACATCCCCAGCCTGGTGAGGGAGGGGGTTGTCCTGCTCTGCTCTGCACTGGGGTGGCCTCACCTGGAATATTGTGGCAGTTTTGGGCCATATTAAGCCATTAGAGAGTGTCCAAAGGAGAGCCATGAGGATGGTCAAGGCCATGGAAAGACCTTGAGGGGAAGCCATATGAGGAGCAGCTGAGGGCACTTGGTCTGTTCAGCCTGGAGGAGACTGAGGGGAGACCTCATTGCAGTTACAACTTCCCCATGAGGGGAAGAGGAGGGGCAGGCACTGATCTCTTCTCTCTGGTGACCAGTGACAGGACCCAAGGGAATGGCCTGAAGTTGTGTCACGGGAGGTTTAGGTTGGATACTAGAAAGAGGTTCTTCACCCAGAGGTTGGTTGGGCACTGGAACTATCTGGGGAAGTGGTCACAGCACCGACCAAACCTGACAGAGTTCAAGAGGCATTTGGGATGATACTCTCAGGCACATGGTGTGACTCTTTTGGGGATGGTCAGGGCCAGGAGCTGGACTCAATGATTCTTGTAGGTCCTTTCCAACTTGGCATATTCTGTGATTCTGTGACCTTGGCACTTAGATGATTTTGTTTTGTTCCAGGGAATTGAAAACAGTCAGAGGTGAATTGCAGCATAGTAGAGTATGAGGATGCAGATGAGTAACTGAGTGACCCAAAGATCCTCCTGCCCGTTTTATTTTAAGTTGATGCTTTTAAAAAGAGGATACTGTTCTGGGAAAGCCCCTTGTTTGTTTTTCCAGTGTTGCACCGTGAAAATTTTCTCTCTCTTTTTTTTTTTTTTTTTTTTTTACATTGCAGTTTCTGAAAAGAAGTAGTTTTCTTGTTTTTCTCTGTACTTTGTTTTGATTTTTGTGTGTGTGTATGTGACAGGGAAGAGGGGGAAATTGGCTGATTCCATTTACTTATCTTCGTGTTTTAGTAAAACTCATCACTTTTTTAGTGGTCTTTTTTTGAATGGACTAATCTCTGCTTTGGCCATAAGACATGGCTTAATTTGGCATAGCATTTCAGCAATGTGGTTCAAATGTAACATACCTGAAGATTAGCCAGGCAGTGTTTTAGCAGCTGCATTTAATTTGCAGTAAGTTAGTCAAAAATGTGTCTATTCATGTTTTAGCCCATAGTGTGGCAGAACTGACAGCTGTGGAGTACATCTACCTTCCAAAATCCTCCTCTTTTATTTATTTTTTTTTTTTCTCCAGAATCAAGGCTCTTTGGAATTGCTAAGAGGCAGTCTTGTTTCCTGTGCTATTCAGACTTCAAGCAAATTATTTTTGCATCAATCCAGAACCTGTTCTGTTCTCTCTCTCACAGGAAGACATTCAACAATAAAACATCAGCACCAAGTTACCTTCAGGAAGGTCAGTGTGAAAAAAATAAATAAACCAAGTGATTTGAAGAGATGTATCTGAAATACACTTGCATACTCTTTTAATTGGCATAGTCACCCCACCTGTTTTGTTATGGCCAGGAGTTCAGATGACAGATAGGTCAAATAAACTCAATCATTATATTAGCAACTGTTCATATTAATTCACAACAGAGTTTCCTGTGAAATCTTTAATATTTCATGAACATTTTTAGCCATGAGGTTGGAGCTCAAGACTGCAGTTTTAAGAGCTCTGGTTTGTTTCTTATTTCTGTCAGAAGCTTCTTATGGTGTTATGGGGAAAATCTTTTACTCCCTCAGTGCCTCAAATCATAAAGTTCATAACAAGGTTTTCTTTTTTTCCATTCCTTGTCTTTCTTGCCCGTTTATGCTGCAAAGTCTTACAGGAAGACACCATTTCTTCAATTGGGTGTTGGTATTTTTCCACTCTCAAGGTGGAGCCTTAACAAAAATACATGTAAGTAGGGATTTATAGACTAGGGCATGTATTTTTTATTATCATAGAATAGAAACACTACTTTTTCTATATTATACATGAAAAGTAAATATAAATGCATAGTGATTTTTGAGTGATGCTTACTTTCAAAATAACTAATATGAATAATTTAAAAATTTCAAATGTCACAGCTGCCACTACATCTGTGCATTATTAAAATACTGATAGTAAGATGTTTTTTACACTTGTATCAGTAAAAGAGAGTTATATTATACAGAGTGACATTTAAATTCACATAAATCAATTTATGCTTATAGTTCCATGTCCCTGGCACTTTCAAAATAACTTCTTAATATATATTTGCCTCCTGACAGTATATGGATTCAACTGGAGAGCTATTTTCAATAATTACAGTTCATTTCCCAAGAATCAGATGTTAGTGTAAATGAAAGATCATTCCTGACTGGTTTTCAGCTGCCTTGAGAGTTTGGGTTATTACAAGTTAATTGAACCAGAAAAATTGAGGATAAAACTTGACTTATCAGATTGAATTCTGTTAAAGTGACTGATTGTTGCATGAGGAAAGGCAACAATAGGTGAGACTCTACTATCATCACCTGCTTATTTTTAAGGACCAGATCAAAGAGGTGAAGAGGATGTTTGGTTACCCATGGGTGCCCGAAGTCAATGCCTGGATCAGCAATCTTTTTGGAACTAATTGCATTTTGGACTTGCTGCCTGAGTAGTGTTGGTGCAGCCTCAGGCAGCTGGTGCTGGGAATGGTAGCAGAAGAGCTGCATTCCCTCTCCCATAAAAAGACCCTTGCTGGTCTTTTTTAGTGTCCTTGTTTCGAGCTACGCAGATGGGGCGCATGTGAAGCTCTCAGGTTTCCTCTGCACTGGAAGAGCTTTAAAAGTGCTGCTTTGTGCATCCAGAAATGGTGGGAGGTAGGTACTGAGTCAACCAGTAAACCACCTCTCTAATCTGCCTGTAGGAAAGTCTCCCTTTCTTTTCACATAATTAAATGATTCAAAAGACAAGGGCTAAAAATAAAAATAATTAAATAACTTTAGGTTGGTTTATTTTGATTGTTTTGTTTTGTTTCTTAGCCCTTCTCCTTTTATTAGCAAGATAGGAAAAGGAGGGCAGGTGGAAAATCTTGAAGTGTTATTAGGTGAATGGGGAAGATATTTCTCTTTTAAAAAAAACTCCTTGAGGAAAGAATATTTCTCTCAAAAACCTTCTATTAAATATACATTTCTATGTGAGAATTTTCATTTTAAGGTAGGAAGGTAACAACCTTTTTCCAATATTAAAATTATGTTGACACAATTTTTTGCTTGGCTGAATTTTAAGGCTGATATGATCATCCATGCTGCCCAAGGGATTTGGCTACTCAGATTCCATTAGCAAAACCTCAGTCTTCGTCCCAATATTGACTGGAGAAACCATTATATTAAATTCTATTATAGGTTGTTATCTAACATGTTCAGTGTTGAGTGACAAGAAGAAAATGATAATGTGTTCACCTAGGGACTGTAAGACAAATGTTTCGTGTGTTCTATGGACTTCTGTTAGATAACATTATGGTCATATTACACTAAATAGACACATCCTGCTTTTTAGACTCGAAAAAGAATCTGAATTATTGGCATAGGAAGATTCTTAAAAGCCAGATCGTGGTTTTTCTGCTTGATTTTTGGGATAAGTGCATTTTCTCAATATATTTCTAGAATTACTAAATTTCACAGAGCTCTGATTTGACATTGCATCAATTAAATATTCTCTGCGTGTTACAAAATTAAAATCATAAGTACCCCTGTGATTTACAGAAGTTACAAAAAGGCCTGTTCCATATTTTTCAAATGGCTGCCTGCTCTTCATGTGACACCAATATTTTGTTTGAAAGGCACAGAAATGCGATATCTGAAGAAACCTGGTTTTTTGGGTGTCTTTAATAATGGCATGTTTCCCATAAATGTGGTGTGGCTTTGGGTATGACATATTATGACTTGCTTATCTCAATGAGATTGGGGGATTTCTGCTGAAATTGAGAGCAAAATTTTAACAGTTCTCGTAACAGAAGCACAACGGTTTGCTCTGGAACAGAATCGATAGGAGGGCATGTCAAGACAATCAGTAAGATCTTAAACTATAAAAAATAATACTAAAACCTGTGAAGCTGGGCAGACTTGGAATGATTTGTCTTGGATGCTAAAAGATAATAGAAATATAGTATTAGAAACTTCACAAATGATCAAGCCTCCCGAACTGTCAGATTTCTATAATAAAATGCTACTCAAAATGAAGTCTTTCAGTACAACTGTCATTTTCAAACACCAAACAGTCTCTGTGATTATGTTTCATGGACCTGTATTTCATCTCTTGTAAATGCAGACCATTCCCCTCAACTGACAAAGGTGACTCTAGTGAAAACATTTTAAGTGTCCTTCCACCTCCTCCCCTTAATTGTATGATTCAAACTGAAAATAAAGAGGGCTTTCAAAGGCTTGTTTTTTAATAAATGATCTCAAAGGAACAAAGAACCATGAAGTTACTCATAAGGTACAGTAGCTTCATGGCTGAGAGCAGAAGAGCACAAGGATTCACATTCCCTTGTTGCTTCAGCAGCTCTTTTCAAGATGTTTCCCATTTGACCTTTGCCACAAAGATGAGGTCTGTCCAAAATCTTTGAAAAAAGTAAAGGAAGGTCATGCAGAGATGTCTTAATATATGCTTTGCACAATGCTCTTTTCATATCTACCTAAAAGCAGCGGACTGTAGAAAATAAGTTGTGGACAGGACCACTCAAGCCCAAATGGCCCGAAGGGACACGATTTAGAGTGACCTTTTAACATCCTTTGTCAGTAATCTGCATAGATGAAGTCAATTGTCTAAAAGGTCTGTCCCTGTCTAGCAAATAAAGGATGGTGAATGTCTCAGTAGTCACATTCCTCTGCAGAAATGATGCAGAGCAGTTGCTCTAAATTTTTTGCTCATATTTTCTGAGATTCCAGAGGCTATTTTAGGAAGGCAGTAGAGTTGCTAATCTTAAACAGTTTTGAAAAATTCAATTGTAATCTATTTCATACTCACAATCAATAAGAAAATCTAAACCTGGCTACTAAATTGTGCAGATCTCTTTAATTGCTTTTCCTCATACAAATTTTTCCTCATACATATTCCCATACACAAATACAATTCTGGTTGAAACTGCCTTTCTCTAAAAATGAGTATAAGAAAGTAAGAAGTTCCACTACAGTCAAATTTTAGAGCTGTCTTCCTCTTTGAGCTAGTCTTGATGGAAGTATAAGATCAATAAATTGAAAGCCATTCATGTTTTCTGAACAATGAGTTCATAACAAGAATTTTTTTGTTTGGTTTTTAAATATTTTCTTGCCTTTCACTTTTAAACTATATGAAAATCTCACCCATTCAAAAAAGTTTCAAATACTGCATTTCTACCTCTGGTATTTCTCGGTCAAAGTAAACAGTGGAAAGGTTGCAGTTCTTGCCTGCAGAGTAATTGTATCTTGACTATGTGATCAAACTATCAAACTTAACTGAAAGGAAGGTAAGAAGCTGCCCAGCCTGACAAAATGTCAGCTTAGTTGGAATTGAGCATGTGGGGGAGAATTCAAATGGGCAAAGCTGATTAGGGTTAGCAAACTAAAGGGTAGAGGAGGCTATAAAAGGTAAGATCACTAATTAGCTGTTTGAGCCAGAGTTTCAGACAAACTTTGGAGGTGGACTTGTGAGCTGCCTAAGAAAGGTTCTCAATAGAGGGTTTTATTGTGGATTACAAGGCTGGTGAGGAAATAAAGGAGGTGGAAAAATGAAGACTGGCAGTTTTGGGGCACCTCCATCTTTCTCCTGTCGTGCATCGTGCAGTCAGGTAAGAGAAAATTTTGGATTACAGTGTTTGACTTTATTTAAAGTCTGTCCAAGAAAAAAAAAAACAGAATCCAGCCTGCAAAGGACTGGAATATCAAGTAGGAAAGTTCTGAAGGTTGTTTCCAGTTTTAGAGAAAAAGGGAATTAATTCCAGTAATTAGGCACCTGTGAGGCTGTACCTTGAATACTTTGTTCAGTTCTGGAGCCGTCACTACAAGAAAGACATTGAGATTCTGGAGCATGTCCAGAGAAGGACAATACATCTGGTGAAGGGTCTGGAGCACAAGTCTGAGGGAGATGGGGGTGTTTAGCCTGGAGAAAAGGAGGTTCAGGGGGAAAACAACTGCTCTCTTCAACTACCTGAAAAGAGGTTGTATCCAGGTGGAGGTGATGCTCTACTCCCAGGTAACAAGTGACAGCACAAGAGGAAGTGGCCTCAGATTGTGCCAGGGGAGGTTTAGATTGGATATTAGGAAAAATTGCTTCACAGGAAGGATTATCAAACATTGGAAAGGCTGCCCAGGGAAGCAGTGGAGTTGCCATATCTGGAAGATATTTAAAAGACCCATAGAGATGTGGTGTTTAGGATATGTTTTAGTGGTGGACTTGGTAGTGTTGGGTCAATAGTTGGATTTCATGAT